TGACACGGAAATTTTGAGTTTTAAAAGTTAAAATGTCCTACGTGATGAGGTCATTCATCGACAGGATGTGGATGAAACGTCTGCCAGAACGGAACAGGAAGTAATCACAGATTGTAAAACACAAGTCTGAATGTAAGCACTAACCAATGAAAATTGGAATTCGCTCCATTGATATTAAATTCGATGTAAATGTACCGGTACACACGCGATATCCTACTGTGCATGCCCTATATCAAATACATTCTTGATGGTTTATGCATGTTTCATGACAAGAAGTTTGAGAACAACTGTCTTTGCTATCAAAACAGATTTTTATCAACAGCCCTTTCAAAACTTTTGAAATTCCATCAGGAGGTTTAGTAATCTCGACTGTATTGAAGATTTTCAAGGACTACTAAAACATTCCCTTAAAACAAGATTATTTGGAGATGCGTGCGATTTCAAATGAACATGACAGCCACAAAATCATAAATCACACACTTCAAATAACCGGGCTTGGTTCATAATCTCTGGCATTTCATTCATGCCATCATGAGCCAATTTCCCTGCTGCCAGCACTCAAGGCTCACTCGTTGGCATTTCTCCTGAGATATTTACACATGTATGTGTACCACACATGTACATGTACATGTACCTTGCAGCCGTTAAAGTCATTGATAAACCCACACAGATGCTATCTGAACATACGTGTATTCTCTAAACGATCATTCGGTACCTGATGACGGCCATTTTTCTGCGTTGTCAATTCCATTTTAAGCATGTTTTGGATAAAGTGTGTGATGAATGCACACACATGTACAGGTAGATAGATCTGCATAGATAGATCTGCATAGATAGATCTGCATAGATAGATCTGCATATATAGATCTGCTCGGGTGCTGTCAAATTACTAGCATCTCAGAAGACACGAGCAGTTAACATGTATTGTGTAAGATCCTGTAAAACAGAGACTTACTTCTTCCTCATACATTTACTAGTACAGATAATTCGTTAACAGATTTAATTTCAAAACTGC